AGTTCAACCTAAACTTTTATGCAAAATGCACAACCTTCAAGCAATGTAGATCGGCAGAAAAAATATAGTCAGCAATTATTTTTTTTCAACTTGTGCGAAACTTGCTTTTGAATGTCATTGCTCAACTGTTTAATATTAACGGCTAGCTTTGGAACCTCACAACGTAACTAACTGGCTTGTCAAATTGTCGTTAGACAGCTTACTTCTATGCTTCGATTTCATAATTTTCAATTTCGAAAGGAAATATTTGCACATATATGTTGTGCCTATTGCCGCCGCAACACGCATTGCCATTTGTCTCATGATGTGAAGCTTATCATCGATATACTCACTGTAGAAGTTTTCTATCTCCTTGAAACAACTGTTTCAGTTCCGTAGGTGACTGGATATCAATTCAAGTTGCGTATATTCTAGTGCCTCTTCTACCAGAATGTCAACGGGACGCGTACAAAATTTTAAAGAGACTGTCGAATTTTGCAATTAAGCGAATCTCTCTTACCTGCGACTTCGTCTCAAATATTTATAGAAATCCATATTGTTGCTGTCAAAGCTATTTAGTAATGGAAAATGAACTGCTTTTCTTCAATTCAAATTGAGTTTCATACAGTTCAAGCTTTGGGATAAATGCCTGTATATCTTCATAACAGTCTGTAATTAATTTCACAATGGGTTAAAAACTCATTGTATCGCCACAGATGTTGCATGCTTAAGTGGCCCTCCGCAAAATCATATTCTGTGGCGTTAACAGCGCTTTTCCTATGGAGGAGCGGCGTGAAATTGAAGCCTCAAATCTCGTAAGATTTGATATCATACCAGAAAAATTTTATGTTGAATATGTTTATACGTCCGTATTTATATAAAAACTTCAAGTGGGCCGCACGAATCCTTCCCGTGTGCCGCGGGTAGGACACCCCTGTTTTAGAGTAATCATTTAAAACGTGTAGGAAAGAATTCCCACTATCAACTAGGTAAAAAAATTCGCTTTATCGCCTAGGTCTTATTTCAAGAGAGGTGGGGTCTTATATTAAAATTATTTTTAAAATTCAGGCTACGTCTTATTTTCGGGGAAACACGGTACCATTGCATGGTAGTTCACGGGCCGCTGGCGTTCGATTTATTGTTTTTGCTAAATGTTTGTCTGTTAGTGGGATTGATCGATACATTGCATATAAAAAATGTAAAATAGAAGAACACGATCGAAAATAGGAAATTCTAAATCATTTATATATCTACAATAACCGATGATGTTTATATGATCATGCATGTGCATTCTTTTAATACTAGTGATGAATAATGCCGTGACTGTACTGATCAACTTTGTTTTATAAATTACTGCAATATAAATCAGAATTGCCACGAAAATCTCAGTGACAATTACTCCCGTAATGTATTTATCTGTACTGCAAATTGTTTCCGTTCTTCGGCCCAAACACGAACTAGGATATTCGCCGGACTGTTGCCTCACTTCGCTTCACTGGCAACATGAGTGGCGAGACGTGCCCTATCGGGCAACCTGAGGATTCATTGATTGTTCCGACAAATAAAGCGGGTAATTGATGGGCGGTGTCAAAACATTCAGGATCTACTTCACCACTAATTACTAGATGTGCAGGCTGGGATTGGATAAGTCATTGCGTTGCTAAAAGGTGAGCCAACACCAAACTGAATATATTTGGGTATCATTCGTTCAGTACCCTGCTAGTAATTTGGCGACTTGGGATAGGATTTACTTATTTATCTCGGGAAGAGCTTAATCATATTGCGAACCACGGTCTCTCGTCTGGTTACCATTTCATGTCAGGTATAGGAGTTGTTGGTCGGTTATTTGTGTCAGATCGTAGTAGTATATATTTACGGTCAGATGCATAGACTTACTTGATGGCAGTATGTTCCCCAGCTTTTTTTTTTTTTTGGGGGGGTGGTAAATAATTTGCTGTTAGATATAAAACTAGGCTATTTGTATTCTTAAAAAAATGGTATGTATTTAAGAAACGATGTAGGCTACATGGGGGCCCCCCAAGTTGATTGACGCGAGCCAAAATCCACAGCAGAATGTAATTGTAGGGCCAGAAAAGGGGAGCGAGGAAAAGTGCGGGACGACACGGCTGGGGTTCAGGGCGCGCTCAAGCGCCCTGAGAAAATTTTGAGAAATAGGAACCAAAATAGGCTCTAAGCTTGATTTTAGATACACTTAACATCGCAGTTTGTTATGTAATGAAATCAATAATTATAATATTTAGCTGATAGAATTCCCGGGGAATAGATAACAAGCACGGCTTTCAACCGTAAATATATACTACTACGTTTCAACAAGTAATTTGCAAGTTGCAACTGATAGTGACTAATGAAGTTACTTGCTCATCTGGCATTGTATGAATGGCTACTTATGGCTTGTTTTGTTACACATTTCTAATTTTTTTGAACATGTTTGTTTGACTTTTGTATGAATTAAATTTTGGAATAAGCTCGTCAACTGATCATAATGTCGCATAATGTTGTATTCCTTCAGAACTGAAATATTTTGTTGGTAAGAAGACAAATCGCTGAAGTTTGATTCTTTTCAATAAAGAAATAAACAACGCTGTCATTCATCTAAAAAAAAGTCTGTTTTCAGTGCCTAGTTTTCGTTTTGTGACATCTTTAAGCTTTCTCAATATACGGCTGATATCTAAAATACTGCAGTGTGTAATCCTAATACCCATACGTATACATAAGGTACCGGAATAATTCAATTGTTACGAAATAAACGTGCTTAAACTGTGATATACATGTAACAATAGACGGTATCTAAAACTCAAAAGGTACCACATGAAGGGTTAAACTATTTCACTCAAGTTCGGCGGGCCATTTTAAATCGTCACGCGGGCCGTAATTGGCCCGCAGACTGCGGTTTAGAACCCCTCAGTGTGGAATCGCACCTCAAAATTAGGGGGGGTGTTTGAAATTTTAGGGGGGGTGTTCACCCCCTATAGGGGGGGTGTAAGGAAATCACTGCTTGATGGTTAAAACAACCAGCAGTTTTGTGAACCGCCCCAATAGAGTTGACTACTTTAGCGAACCTCTCGTACATACACTGCCCTGACCCACGTGTCAATGAAGCCTTCCGTGATGCTACCATGGGGTAACGTCAGTCGTCAACCATACGTCACCTGCCCATTTGCCAGCCTTGACAAATTTAACAAAGTGCACTGCGACACATATCTACAAGTGTTACATCAATTACCGCAACTGCTAAACAGGAAGGAAACCCAAATCAAGCTATTTATTCTGCTCACCGATGACTTCAAAACGCTTGAATCTTAATAAAATGTCATGAATGTAATTGAGTCTCTGTTGTTGGCGGTGTATGGGCAAAAGAAGATGAAAATGCCAATGTGTAAACAAGTCAAGAGCAAATAAACCTGAATCATGGCGCGAAGGAGAGAAAAATATAATTTGGGCTTTTGCACTTGTGTTCATGATGGAGTATGTCAAATCCCACATTGAGTTTTCAGAAATTTGGTGAATTTATATTGCAAATTGCCTTTAAACACTTATACAAGAACTATCAGTAGAGGATACGCGACTTTTATAACTTCAAAAGCCACATTGCAAATTGCCTTTAAAAACATATACAAGAACTATCAGTAGAGGGTATGCGAGACTAACTTCAAATCCTTCCTCAATGCCTTCGCGCTAGTTTGAATTGCATAGAAAACATGTGTTGAATTTTTTTTGGTGGGGGAACTGTGGGTCTTTTAAAGTAAAATCTTTGCTGGATGATGAGAAATACTCTCCTCTTTGATTAAAATCCAGTTTTTCTTAAAATAGTAAATACACAGATTAGGAAATGAAATTCATTTATTATATTACAGAAATTGATAAAAACACCAAGTTAGACATGATCGAAGTCCATCAGATAAAACCATAAAAAGTGGATGCATATCGAAAAAATTTAAAATGGGGGGAGATTATAATGACTCTGATAATTATGTTTGATTTCAATATTTCAGCACGAGTTAGCAAATGAAGACTTACCGCTGGTCACTATGACGTCATATTATTGTCCTGTGACATCATATTTCATATCATGATGTCATGACAACAAATGTAACAAGAGTACTATTAATATGTATGGCACGATAGTACATGATTTCCCCACTTGGTGGCGTGAGAGACAAATGTTATAATATGAGGAGAGGATACAAACTGGGGAATTTCCCCTCCTTAAAAAAAATTTTATAAAATGAAAAGCGTGTCCGGACAAGACAAAGCAAAATAACAACGGGACAGTGCAAGCAGTTTCTACTATGAAGTCACAATTAATTAAGATGGTGAAAGTGTGATGCAACAATGTAAAGATGAAGCAATGGAGCACAGTATGACATCACACTAACAACTTTAAAAACTCTATATGACATCATAATCGGTCAGTTATGACATCACAGGCAGGCAAAATGGAAATAACAATAATATAAAATTTCATTAAAGAAAGAAATTGTAAAGAAAATTGTTAAAATATTGAACCCCCAAATTTGGGAGGTGCTTTCCCTAATGAGACTCTCTGGTATATTTGGTAATGTTAAGAATTGGACCATAAGTTGTAGGTAAATAAGTAAGTGTAGAAAGCCAGATATTTTTCCTAGTATGCTGAGAAACAATTCATCAAATGAAATCCGTTATTAGAAAAGTTCTAACGAAAGTACGTTATTTCACTCTTTTTCCAACTTCACTTGAGGCATAACCAAATCTGTGCGAAAAATCGTTTGTACGGCCATTTGCTTTAGAGATTTCTGAGTTAGAACTTAGTCTTAGTTAGAGAAATAGTCTGAATAGCCATATAAAGTGAGATTTACGTCATTTGTCAATTCTTTTTTGTACAATGTCTTATTAAGCAACCTACGTAAAAAACTAATATTTTCTATGATCAGCCTTATTTTTAAAAGCTACCTTCCCTATGTTAGGTGGAAATGCGCTTAATTTCCCGCCAATAATTTTCCACTGAAGCCAACAATCCTATAAATATCTGATTAAAATCACAGTACGTCAATATTCAATTGGTAAAATATAAAAACAGCAATTGCCTCTCGTCTCTAGGAATGGTCTCAAACCCAGAATGTGCAAAGATTATGACAGAACTCATTTCAAATCCATCCCACACAGAAAAATAGTATGAATCATGCAGAGGCTTTTTGTTTTATACATAAACATCAAGCTTTGTAGGAACTCCAATTAGAATGTATTCAAAATTGGTAAAAGTAGAGAAGTATATTCAAACAAGTTGAATTTCCCGATCAAGACTGCAAAGATATTTAAGCTCCATAAATTGTTAGCACTCTTTTTTTTTCTGTGTAGGATGCATTTTAAATTACTGATCAATCGGGGATAACTTTTGGTAAAAATACATTCAGACCAGGAAAGTATGAATCACAAACATTTATATCACATTCTTGGAGAAAAATCACCATACATGACCCTCACTTCACCGTGGCAACAATATTGTTGCCAGGCGCTACGCTTCTTTATTGTTGCTATAAGCAACTGTTACCATTGGCGGCGTGTATGTCTTTTCTTTGTTACTAGGCAGCACTGTTGCCTCAAAACAGCATAGACTGTCGTCGTCCTTTACCGCTGGATTGGTGAGGGAATGAGGAATTACGTGACCCTGGGTTACGGGTCACTGAACATTCAGGAAGTGTAAATATGGAAACAGCTGTAAAAGACAAATAAAGATCGATTAACGAAAAGTTTCGAAAGTAAAGACTCATCTCTGAGCAGCAAAGTTACGGGCACTCACTCAGAAGTAAAGGAGACTCATCTTCGATCAAAGTTACGAGAACTCACTCAGAAATAAAGAAAACTCATCTTGAGTAAAGTTACGGGCACTCACTCATAAGTAAAATCATATATCTGAAGCAAAAAAAGGTTGGTCCAGTAGGAAATGAAAAAAGTCATTTTTGTCATAACAACAACAAGAAAAGAAAAGGCTGACAAGAACAACAACAAAACTATTGTTTGTAAACTTCATGTCCAATAAATTTTGGTAATCAAAATTCAAGCTATTAAGTCAGTCTATAGTCTTGTTCTTAGAAATAACACTCACTGTCTGGTAGGCGATGTACGCTTGGTCCCAAAGTCTTGAAGAACGGGTGATGAACGGCGTCTTCTGCAGAAATACGTTTCTGAGGATCAAACTAAAAAAAAGAAATGACCTTCGTTAATTTCCAAGGTCATATCAAGATAAAATAAAAATAACAATCTCTTTTCACGAAATATCAAGTATATTTATACTTATATTAAATATACTTGATATTTCACGGAAAGAGATTATGTTATTTTTATTTATCTTCATAATACTATCTCAGTCACGCATCCTTGTGGCAACAGCCACATACGAATCCGGAATAGAAAGTAAACAAGGTGAAAGGGCCTGTAGTTCAATACACTCATGCTTAAAACAAGTCTGATCGGAGCGACCACTAGTCTTGTAGCATATCTGGCAAATGCATTTCTGACTTTTTGATGGAGCAAAACCCCAATGAAACCTTCAAGAAGCTAGAGAACTCCTGTGCAATAGTCTAATTGCCTTTTATTATATGAATTGTATAAACTGAACGGGGACCCCTGCACAATATTTTATTTTTATTTTTAAACTATACAATGAGGCTACATAAAAGCAAAGCTGATATTGGCAAAATGGTTTTCAGAGCAACTTTAATAATAATGGTGAACCTAATAGGTATTTGATTATATGCAGTCAATATACATGTAATAACACAGACTCTCTCGAATTTGAATAGCAAATTGCTACACACTGGAAAAATATATTGTTTAGCAAAAGCCTGACTCAACCAAAAGACAAACCTCTAAGAATTTTCCAAGCAGATCAAGCCCATCGTGGTCCAATCTTGGACAGATGCTGATTAAAGACTCCCCAGGATAAATCTTCTTGCTGTGGTGCCTGGAATATTAGCAGAAGTTCAATGTACATGCAGATGGATGGAGAATGATTTAAGAAGTAAGAATAAACATTAATCATAAAATATAATCAGAAGGGGCCGGGCAAGACTTCAAGGTTAACCGACCTTGAGGGTGAAAGAAGGTGCTATGAACCAGTACTGGCAGTGACAGGACGTCTTACATTAAATCATGCCAGCCTGTGACTCATTTCCAAAGATAACCAAAAGTTTTGCTTTTCACAGGTTTCCATCAATTATTTTATTTGCCACATTTAATAATAAAAAGCGACAAACGGATAAACGCATCACAGTTAAAGTGATAACTGTATTGTATTTCTGGCAACTAGCATTTTCCCAGATGGCTGAGCATGACCTGTGATGTCATCAGCCACAGATGACTGATCCTGCCCAACCAGCTGAGAAGATGAAGTAGCCAAGCTCTCTGTACTCGAGTGCTCGGGAGTTACTCTGGTTATGTTCATGGGCATTTACAAATTATACGTTTATACTCAGTTAACAAAACAATTGGACGCAATTCATGCAATCCACTTAATTAATGTAGTGGTCGCCAAAATTAAATTTGAATCAAAATTTCTAAATGGCAAGATTTACAAAGAAAATCTGAATTGATTCAAAGGTACTAATGATTTAGTTTCCGCAGTACTGCGTGACTTTCTGCCACGTTTGAAAATCCTGGATTCTTTTCGATGGGTGTTTCTGGTGTTAGTGTGCAGCAAGACTCTTGAATCACTTAGGATTCAATGGTATGTACTAAATTCACAAACCTAACCTACCCGAAGTGGAAAATCCCTAGATCAAAGGTCAAAGTAAGCATTACCTGTACTCAGGTAGTTGAGAAACTCCTCGCCACATTTTTTCTGTGGGAGTGCCGAGTGTTTTGAATATGAGATGTAGTTGGTCAGTTACAGTTGATCCCGGAAAGAGTGGACGTCCTGCTGCCATCTCATAAAATATACAGCCAACTCCCCTGAAAGTGCAAGTTTGATTAGAGTTTGCAACTTGATATGTCCATTAAACTAGGGCTGAGGAACATGAGCTTGAAACAGTTTGGAGCTGCAACTACTGGAAATTTAGTGGTCCCGTTTAGTGGCTACGTGGTTTTTAACAATCACATTTTCTAATACTTCATATGAATGATAAAAATCAGAAATGATTTCAAAATTTAATTTCATTAAAAGCTGTGAGATAAATTTGAATAGATAATGTTAAAAGTTAAATCAAGTAAAGTTTATTTTCAAAATTGTCTTATTCCCATCATATAGGACCATCCGACCCACTTGTGCCCGCTGAAATTAGGACTATAGTTACGGATATGAATTTCAGTTCAAATATCGATGAAAATAAACACCATAATGACCCTGATTGTGTTTCTTATTAAATAAACGTTAGCCCAACTGTTGTTTTCATTCATAGTTTTTCATATTGAGTTTTGAGGTGAATTCATGTCGCGAACCAGGATTACCACAGCACTATAGATTACCCTGAGGAATAGTTGACCGGTTGGATGCCAAGAAAACCAGAATACCAAGCTCATATTTGTCCTTTTAGGAATATATTTTTCGGTACTCTCGTAGTATGCATGCCAGGTTAGGGTTAGGGCATGCGTTTATTTCAATTTCCCATATTTTAGTTCTATTACGAGTTCGTGAACTGTTAGCCAAGTGAATATACCCCCTGCCCACAGGTTTCAGTTCATTTACACAACTTATTGTCCGTTGAAGAATATATTTTAGGATACTCCTGGGGTATGCGTATTGCGAACCAGGCTAGGGTTAGGCCATAATTTTACTCCTATTTTCTTTATTTTAGTTCTATTAGGAGTTGGGAACTGTCTGTGTTAGCCAAGTGAATATAACCCTACCCATAGGTTTCGTCCCTTCACACAACTTGATATGAAATAGGCAAACAAAATTAGTTACCTCCATATTTGGTACACACACTTGTGGAGCACCTATTTTTCTTGTTTGTCCATGGAGAGAAACCAACGAGTCAACTAATCATACAGCCTATTTAGGTGACCTTGTCATTTCAACAAAGGTCAAAGAAGGATACTTACCACATATCGATGGATTGGTTATATTCCGTTGACCCAAGTAGGACATCTGGTGGTCGGTACCACAAGGTAACGACCTCGTTTGAATACGTTTTGGTGGGAACTGATTTTGCTCTAGCAAGTCCGAAGTCTGCAAGCTTCAATTCTCCTTTATCATTGATCAGTAGATTTTGGGGTTTCAGATCTCTGATAAGGTAAGAAGATAAGGTTGGTGAAGTTAGGGATGTAGCATAATACAACAAAATACGCTAACTCAGGGTTCCTCAAACTTTCTGTTCATTGATACTCTTTGGACAATTTAAGATTCGCTCGTGTACCCGCAAAAATGTACCACATGCTGTGATTGGACAAAATATATCATATTTAATAAATGGGAACCTGCAACATTTCCATCAATACCTATTAACGATTTGGTCAAGTTTACAAATAAGGAAGGCTACATAGGACATCCCTGGTAAGGAAAGTTAATTCAAGAAAACTACCATTCAGATATAATAATAGACTGCACTGTGAAGTGCGAAAGTAGACTTGGGAGTTAATTTATGGCTGATTAGAAGTTATGGAGAGAATATCTTTATACTTAATCCACCCTTTAAAAAGTCAAAATGTACTACCAGGAGGTTAGTAATATTTGCATCTTAATACAACCGAACTCACTCACCGATGCAAGATTCTTCTTTTATGGCAATACTTGAGCCCTCTCAATAACTGGAATAAAAACAAGCGAACGTTGTTCATACTCATGATGCTGCCGCAGTCATCCATGTATTGCTTCAAATCCCGGTCCTGAAAAGTAAAAATTGAAGTTTAGTTGGAGTTTCCTAAACCTCGACTCCACAAGGGGGCAACAGAGCAACTCGGAGGTGGCAACGAGTAAAGACCTCCACTAAGTACCATTCATAAGTAATTTGAAGTAAACTAAGTGTGATTTTTTTATCTTCTTGAGTCAGAGTCCACACATTCTTATTCATTTTATGGGTGCTCCAGAAGTGTGCGTACCAATATGGTGGTAACTAACTTTGTTCGCCTACTTTACATCCAGTTGTGTAAAGTGACTGAAACCTATGGGCTATATTCACTTGGCTAACACAGACACTCCACGAAATCGTAATAGAATTAAAATAAGAAAAATCATAATAAAATTATGGCCCAACCCTAACCTGGTACATATACTACGAGGGTACCCATTTGGTTTTGTTGAAAAAACTGATGAAAATGAATTAAAGGCAAAATTAAGAATTTTTCTAGAAGAGCTCAAGGGCTGCAATTGTTGAGAAGCATTAGAAGCAACAATGGGTTATGGAAGTTTGAGCATCACTTTTGTAGTCATAGTTTGTCAATATTTAATTTGAGTTATCGAATGTTTCCACACAGTGACAGAATACAAAATAAATTATCTCTTTTTATTAAGTATATGAAACTCACCAAATACTCAAACACCAAAGTCAAAGATTTCTTTGTGTGAACGATGTCGTGCAGTGTAACAATATTTGCTTGTTTCAAGTCTTTGAGTAATGAAACTGGAAAAGAATCAAAAGGTATTAAAAATAGAGACTGTCTTGGGAAACAGGAACAATCTCTTGATTTGGGTCGGATTGTGCCACACTGTTCTTGTGTTGCATCAATGTTTGCTTGCCTGCAATGCCGTATCCGTAACTTTTTATCTGAGTGAGGGCTCGTAACTTGGATCAAAAATGAGGACTGAGTGAGTGTCCTTAACTTTGTTAGGAAATGAGACTTCTTTACTTCTCAGGGAGTGCCTGTAACATCAGAGCGCTCAGAACTTAGTCTCTCTAACTTCTGAGTTAGTGCATTTAACTTTTCTCAGAGATGACTATAAGTTTTCTTCACTCGTGAGAGAGTGCCCAAAGTTCTCTAAGATGAGTTTTCTTTACTTGTGAGAGAGTGCCAAAGTGCTCAAAGATGAGTCTCTCTAACTTCTGAGTAAGTGCATATTACTTTGAGTAAAACGAGTCTCCTTGAATTCTATGTGAGTGTATGTGACCTTGATCTGAGCAAACTTATAAAATATCAATCAACACTGCCCACCTTCTCTTATCGCTGTACATGGAGCCCCTTCCTCATGTTCAAGTCGAATTTCCTTCAAAGCAACCAGATTATCTGTCAGTTTGCTTCGGCCTTTGAAAACCGTGGCATACGTGCCCTGTGTAAAAAGAATGAGCATTAGGCTTGATGCAGGAACAAACTATCATATCCTAATTATATCGGTATCGTACATTACACATCTGAAAACAACATCTATTTGATTTTATACATCACGGGTGTACAACATGCGGCTTGAAATAAAAATTTTGAAGAAATGAAGAAATGTTTTTGATTTTCGAACTGATGAATATTGTTTGAAACTATGACTAAACACTTGCTTGAAGTTGATTCAGCTTAGATTTTTATAATAATCAAATAAAGTTTCTTTAAATTTCAACATTCGCTGAGATTAAATCAAGACATTATTATGGTGTTTATGTATTCCAATGTTGCTACTGAATTACAGGAAGTATAATTTCTATGAAAGGGTAATTGAGTTTTTGGTAATTCCAATTGGGGTTTGTAAAGTTCGGGAACCACTTCACCAGGGAGTCGGGACACCACTGGGATGATAACCTATTGTACAGGTAACCATAAAATGAAAGATTATTTTGCTTCGTGTTTTCAACAGCCTTGTTTATTTTTATTTGAATACCTCTCAAATTACATATGATCAAGTATGGGCCTGTGTTGACATATGCCAATTATATAAGGGTTATCTATGTTGAAGCATAATCTACGACAGGGTACAAATACATTGTGGCATCATAGTGGCATCTATGGACTATAAATATCTTTTCCTTGGGGAGTGAAACGATGTGTTGATTGACAATTAGCTCCCCCTAGAGGATTAAAATTGTCTTTGAAGTGTTTTGCGGTTGACCTAGATGTGGCGCCATCTGCGCAAATACAACCATAAATATGTTGGCTGCGATTACCCGTGTCACAGGGCAGAGGTTGCCTTTACATGCATTCGCTTGACTGGATTTGTAACCTGTGTATTAGATTTGTATTGGTCATCAATAGAACCAAGTGATTTAAGAGTTTTACTTAACATTGCCAAACAAAACTCACTCAGAAAAGAACAATGGTTTTAAAACGAAGGGGCATGCCCCATGAGGGAGGCGTATACAATTTTTAAGGGGGTGTGAAACTAATTAAAAATAAAAATATTTCTGGGATTTGTCCTTTGCCTTATTTTGGATATTTACAATTTTTTATATTGGATATTTGTGTTCCATCCGCATTTTTTGAATAAAACATATTTTTGCTTCACTATCTGTTATTTGTAAATAATTGTTAGCTGGTTACTTTTAAGGTGAGGCGCGAGACTATAAAAAAATTCTAAAAAGTAGGCGGGGCTTAAAAAGTTAGAGAACCACGGTAATAGAATGTTAAGGCAGTGGTACTTAGCCATATTTGATGACTATTTTATTTTGTCGTCTGTTTTTGTGTTCAGTTGCTTTAGTTGGTGCGATGGCAAAATGGGTAAAGTGTCAGACTGGGTCAGCTCCGCAGGGTAAATATCCCAGGCCCGAATCCCATGCCTACCATCTCACCCAGAATGTAATAACTCAGGCGGGCATTGCTAAACTAGGAAGATTGCAAGAAATACTATCGGCAGAGGCAGAGTATGAAAAAAGTTTTTTGAAGCTGTAAATTCGTAACCTGGATCTGCAAATGAACTCACCTCTCCCAGTTTGTCAAGCTTCGTGTACGATTCCAGTTTCCCAAAACCAATTTCGGACTGAAAAAAATGACATTTTTGAGAAATGTGGACAACACAAAGACACAGGGAAATTTAAGAGAAGAAACATGTAACCTTTAAAAAGCCAAGAGCTACTGACACTATAAGGAAATACAGTATAGAATCGAACTTTTCTAACAAATTCCGAAAGTGCAAAAAAACATTGGTAGTCCATTATATTATTAGTAAAATGAGAATGACAATTCGACATTTCGTCGATGGGAGAGAGGGATTTCACATAAATGGTTGGAAAAGAGGTTCAGCGGTTGGCTCATCGTGCTAAGCCAATTTCAGGAATCATCTGTCATCGCTACTCTGAATATCCTAGGTTCAAATCCTGTGAGAGATAATTATGAGCAAAAGGATTGCTGGACTGCTTGTCATGTTATCACTGGTTGGTTGAGGTTTCCTCCACCATCAAGTCCAAACATCAAAACAATTAATTGGTTAACTAATTCCATACCCAACATGGACTGGCAACTTGGGTGCTTGCATAGAGCCTTGTGCATGATAAGAGTTTAAAAACACTTCCACATAAAATATAGAAGCATTTTACATTCACATGTTTCAAGTATATAGTTACTCGTTTTTATGTGTTTTGGTGAAGTTTGTTGTTACATATTCAATGAAGTTCTTTTCCAATACCAACAATTATTTGAGAGCAGCATGACACGTGACATGATTATTTTAAAAACTTCGGCACGTCTCTTCGTTTGAGTTGTGAACCGATGCCCTAACAAATGTAGTTCCACTCACCAGTGAAGCTCTTCTCAGTTTTCTTGACATAGGCTGATTGTTAAAACCCGGAGAATTAACGGTAATTTTTTGAAGATAATCTGTGGGGAGTTGAACGTTTGCAGGAAGGGATAGACGCTTCGTGATGTCTTGCTGCAAAAGATGAGAAAATAAATAAAAAAAGAGCTGATGCATGACCATTGACCTTACTGCAATTTCCACCGCACTTTAGTGCATATACATTATCAGGCCATTCAGATGGTGTTTGGGGCCTTATTATAATCCATCCCTATTCCTAACCTGCTGTCCATATGGCAGCCAAATAACCCTGTATGAAGGAGACCATTCAAATGATGATTGGGACCATATATCCATCCCTAATCATAACCTGCTGTCTACATGGCAGTCCAATAACCCTTCTATGAAAGAGGCCATCATTCAAATGGCGATTGTAACCAGGGGCATAGCCAGAAATTTTCAAAGGGGGGGGGGGGGCTCTGATATTTTTTTTGGCCAAGTTAGATCGAAACAGCTAGTGGGTCCGAGCAAACGCTGGAATATGCATGTTTTTATTTCATATTTTTTACATTTCAAAAGGGGGGGTTTCGACCCGCAAAACCACCCCTCCTCCTTTATAACCATTCTTCCATCTAACGTGCTTACAAAGGGCAATGGGAATGATTTCAAAAAATAGCTCTCATGTTATGTTTCACAGCTGACAGAGTGACTCACATATCCAGGAGGTCTAAATCCAGGAGGGTAATCCTCAGTGCTATCAGAGTCACTACCACTGTTGCCAGATTTTTCATCACTACCGCTGTTGCCAGATTTATCATCGGTACCACGGTTGCTAGATTTTTTGATGAAACTTTCATTTCTCTCGTTTTCGAGAATAGTGTCAGAAACTCTGGTTTTAATGAACATTTGCACCAGAGAATGTCGTTTTTTATACATTCTACTCATTTTGCACTTTTTGACCCAAAATTAATCTCAATTTTAGAAAATAGAAAACTAAAAGTTCAGAAAAGAAAAAGAAACATTTTTAGGCAGGATAATACCAAACCTATAGTGTTTTTTATGATTAGTTTTCACATCACACAAGCCTAGGTAAACGGCTTTTAATAACAGGGAGTGATACCATGCTGATTCGGGCATTGTGTACCTAAAGGAGTTCCATGAATCCTGTCACAGTAGCGGGGAGTCGAGCGTTTCTCTTGCATATAATTGTCTCCTGGAGGATTCAAACCATGCAGGGTAATCAGAGGTGCGATGAAAAGTGTATTCCTTACGCTTAGCATGATGCGACAAGCATGTGCCATCTGACACTCAATTACGATGAGCTGCTGAAACTATTAGAATCATGGCAGTGTATTACCGCCAGTATACAATGTCTAACAAGAATTGAGCAATCACTACAATGAAGCTAATGAACTGACCCTACTTAATGCCTTAATGGGTTTATGAATAAACCTTTCCATGACAGTGAGAGGAGTCTAGAGGAATCCTCTCCCACAGAATTCAAACATAGGAACTCATGCAAGGTAACGCTTAGCATGATGCGCCAACCGCCAAGTCAAATCTCTAAACATCGAACTGAGTCTCATCTGACACTCAAAATCCAAGAGCAACTGTTAGAATTGGCAGTGTACACATCAGTATACAACGACTAACAACTACACCAATTAGGAATCAGCTTCTTTCGCTCATTTTCCTTTTCCACGACCTATCTAGCATAACATGCTGATGGTGCAATTTGTCTCGGATGTGAAAAAATAACGAAACTACTGGATCAAATTTCGCATCAGCAGCAATTGTTACGCAATATTCAATTTCCCAAACGACTTTACGGTCCAGCATCTGATTTTTGGTACCCCGAATGCGAGTATTAGGTTTAACTTTTACATGTGGTAACCCTGACATGGGCCAAATTCAGCCCGTTGGATAATTCAATCTGGCCCGTCTGACGCTGCCATGACCAAACTAAAATCAAATTTTAATGTTTTAGCTAGAAAATGAGCTCAAGGAATTTGAGATTGCGATTAAATTTAGTTCTCGCACGAGGCTCAATGTTTTCCACTTTTACTTTTGTAACACTGTACGTCACGCTTACATGGCCCAACAGTCTAGGTGGACAAAATTTTTGCCCCGTTGCCCATCTCTGATCTAACCAATAGACCACAGACAAGGTTATTTTTCTGCTTGCTCTGATTTTTCTTCACATTATCAATACTATTACTAACCATTGCTGAAATATCGAAACTACGGAATATCGCAGTGCTTGCAACAGTATTTTGGGATCCTTAGAACATACTGAACATCGAATAACAGTGTTTTTGCCAATACAGACAATCGCAAACTGTTGTCGACCACTTGTTATTTCTAATGATGCATCGGTGACTACTTTTATAGGGCCTGGTGCGGAATGAAACGCGCAAACATATATCGAGACTTGGGGTCGAGTGTTAATACAGGCAAATTTTATCGATGAATAGCAATCGCTTTATGTATAAAACTGTGTAGAATCGATTCTTAATAACGTAATCTATCTAGTACCAGGCCAACATGTCAAAGGTAACAATTTCCCAGGGGCTAATAGACAAGACTAGTGAGTTCCTACTCCTGATACATCATACACAACTGGTAAGAACAATATTCTTTTGTCCAGCATTTGCCGATTGGCAGGAATTCCTACGTAGGGTAAGTGCTTTTAGAGAGGGAACAAGTACTCTGTATTTAATGTATATTGCCTTTATAAAAAAATTAGTATTATCAAAACAACTATTCATGGACACAGTATTAACTATCCGGCAAGTTTTTATGCATAGCGGGAGAAGAATATAGGGATCCAAAATAGGAAAAGGAGAAATATATCAGAACTACTGATTTAGCTATTATCGTTTATCTATATTGTACGCCTCTTACAATTGTGCTTGTACTGAGCTAACCTCAGCATCGTGACTAATGCCCTGGAAACATACCAACCACCCTTTGCAGACTAATTATCTTTTCTCTCGAGTCTCGACGTGTTTTTGAGAAATAATTTGGACGTTCAGTGCAGAAATTGTATCAATAAAATTGTTTTGCAAAACATTACTGATGATTTTTCTGGCACTCCATAAGTGTGTGTACCAATCTGGAGGTAACTAATTTTGTTCGCCTACTTTACATCAAGTTGTGTAAAGGGACTGAATCCTATGCTATGGACAGGGGGTATATTCACTTGGCTAACACAGACAGTCCCCGAACTCACAATAGAACTAAAATAGGGAAAATCAGAATAAAAGTATGGCCTAACCCTAACCTCGTACACACACTACAGGAGTACCTTTCCTCTCCTAAAAATAGTCTGAAATGTCCTATTTTATTATTCTTGCCTCTTCTACATACACCACCAACTCAAACGATTCCTAACAAACTGAAATCAGCATTGTAATTAATTCCCTGCAGACCATAATCATCTCTCTCTTCTATATATAGAATGGTGATTGCTATAATAATGTGACAATGCATTCATTAGGTAGTTTATAATGTACATGTAGAATACTTATTATAGTAAGTAATAAAGAACTAAAGAATATTAGCGATGCTACAGCAAATACAGAGCGAAAATTCTCATAAAACGAGAATATTTTTCCGGTTCGGAGATGCAGGTTTCTGACCTAACTGGAATCTATTGCTTTTGTGTAAAATTTTGCCATTTATGCATATTCAGCCGAAACAAGCAATCCATTCCAAATAGCTAGAACCCAAAATGTTGATATCCCAAGATCTCAGATTACAACAAATTGTGAGTGATACTTGCAACTTGCACTCTGGCTTTTGCATAGGTAAATAGCCTATTATGCATGCATAAATATGTGTCACAATAATACTAAATAACTAAACAATATTAGAAAAACACAGAATACAAAGTAATATATCTTATTTCCTCATCAAAAACAACAAAATCTGCCCTGCCCTAAAAATTTATTGGAATGCAATTCCGAAGCCAAGGGTATCGCGAATAAAAATGCTTGTGAAACTTCAAGTCAATGTGCAAAACTCAGAAAGCTTACTCAATCATCTACTAACTTAGAAGTTGACTATTACAAAAAATAAAAATTTTGACTTAGAAGTTAACTTATACAAAAAATAAAATTATGATGCAATCTTATTCATTGTTGAAATATTGAAGTCTACACATGCAAGTTTGTTTTAATAAGCAACCATAGTAATGAAGCGACCAAATTGCTTTAATTTTTTTATTTAATGGCTTTCGCAGCTGCATAAAATTTCGTTCTGGGCAGCTATGGCCCACGGACTTTAGTTTGCCCACATCTGATCTAAATGCTCTCAAGCCGGCATCTATTCATAGAACAACCAGTATTGAGAAACCTACCGAACCACAATAACCTAATTAGAATTATTCCCAAGGCAACAAGCATACCAATGGTTTACTACGTTCCCATGGGGAAAAGTTGTTTATGAACACTTTAGCTCTGAACAAGGCTCTGACTATTGTTCTCATTCATGGCATTCATACTTTTACTCTGGCAATCAGCCACTGATACGTTTAGACTGCTAACTGAATAGCTATTCTTGACAATGATGCATTCCAGATCTCCACTCTAAACTATGCTACAGACAAACATTAAATGACATGCAAACTAAATCAGTATTTTTTAACCAGTTTTGAGGCAGTCTGGGGTTTCGCCAATACAGTCTATGGCAGGGGTGGGCAACCTTCTGTCGCTCGCGGGCCAAAATTAAAGGTTGCAAGCAGGGATGGCCAATTCGAATAAAGTATTCGAATATCTCGTTATTCGAATATCGGAATTAGCGTTCATAAGAATATCGGATATTTGTGTGACGTCACACATTTTCGACGCCGCTATCAAGAAGTTTCCGTTGAATGAAAACATTCTCGATAGAAACTTGCGCGTGATTGTTTTCATCACTCGTCAGCGTAAGGTGATATTTAGGCCGTAATTGCCTTTACGGTTTGTGTTATTTTCTCTAAAACGAAAATTTTTCACAAATTTGTTCCACGATAAGGATGACAATTATTTTATTTTTGCACGTGCACGGAATTGTGAATCTGATAAATACCGTCATCGGCGGCGAGTTTCTAAAGACAACGCAACTTTTTGATTGGAAAGCGGCAATTTAAAATA